TCCTCCGCCTCGTCGTCAAACATGTCGCCAGAAAACGAAATCGAACAAGCAGGACCTGGCAACAAAGACTTGGAAGGAAAAGCGGTTGGGATCTGGCGCCTGCCACACCCAATCACCATTCGTAACATGTGGCGTTGTGTTTTGACCAAGACCTGCTCTAAGTCTGCCGTGAGCGTCCAACACGACGAACAATAGTGCGCACGGAGTGACAGCGGACTCGAAAAGACGCACCCTGGTGATGATTGGATAAGTGTTGTTCGTCAGCTCGTCCTTTAACACATAAAACTTTCGCCAAGCAATGCGCACCCGGTTGTCTAACTCCGTCTCTTGTGGGCGTCCTGGAACGAGATCTTCCTTCCGAGATAGTTTGCTGAGTCTTCTCTTTTGAATAATCCGATGTCCATGCCACGGACTGGGATGATTGTTTGCGCAGTTTCGCCCCTCCTCGCCCGCAAATTCGTCAACATGTTCGTTTTACCTGGGTGAAGAGATAAACCGTGCAAGCTGCACGCCACCGCCACGTCCCCCAGCATCATCTTCAAGCCTGCCAGCGTGTTACTCACTAACATGGCGTCGTCTGCAAAATGTAGATTTGTCAACCGCCGGTCCCCCAGCAGAAAACCACAAGACCTCGACAACCATCGAGATTTTAGTGGCTTGACCATAAGCTATGATATGATACGATGTCTTACTGGTATGTTAGGTTATGCTATGCCATGTTATGATATGATGCGATGATGGTAATGGTGGTGATGATGGTGATGCTGCTGCTGATGATGATGCTGTTGATGTTGATGATGATGATAATGATGATCGTGTTGTTGATGATGATGATGCTGATGGTGGTGATGCTGATGCTGATGGTGATAGTGATTATGATGATGATGATGACGACGACGAGGATGATGATGATGATGATGATGATGATGATGATGATGATGATGATGATGATGATGATGATGATGATGGTGGAGCGAATTCTGAGGATGGTTCGAACGAAGCGCGGGTTTCATCACCCCAAGGCGGGGATGTCTCGAGCGGTGTGCCTGCTTGCATGCGCAGCATCCTCCGCTGTCTGAGCAGATGTTGAAACTGTCTCGAGCAGTTTGCCTGGTTTGATGGCCAGACTCGTGGGCACAGATCCCCCCCAGGATGCCACAAGAGGCTCCAGGAGGCCCCAGGAGGCACAGGAGGCAACAGGAAGGCTCAAGATGCCACAGGATGCCACAAGAGGCTCCAGGAGGCACCAGGAAGCCCCAGGATGCATCAGGAGGCTCCAGGATGCTCCAGGAGGCCACAGGAGGCCTCAGGATGCTCCAGGAGGCCACAGGACGCCCTAGGAGGCCACAGGACGCGCCAGGAGGCACCAGGAGACCACAGGAAGCGTCAGGAGGCACCAGGATGCCCAGGGAGCAGGAGGCCTCAAAAGGCCACACGAGTGGTTCCGATCCCATGTGCTTACGTATGCCCCCCTATAGATTGGGCACCACCTGGAGCACGAATCCTTGGTGAATTGCATATGTGTATATAGATTGTCCTTTCCCTGCGCATTCAATCTTAAATGTTTGCGTATGTTCCTATCGAGAGGGCCTCCGCTGGGGCACGAATCCTTGGTGCTGTACGCGTGTCCACATGGATTGCCCTTCTCCTGCGGCTCCAATCCGCATTGTTTTATCCACGTCTGTTCCTATATATTTGGCCTCTCCTGGGGCACCACTCCTCACCAGGAGGACCCAGGAGGCTCCAGGAGGCTCCAGGAAGCCACAGGGGGCGACACGAGGCCCCAGGAGGCCCCAGGAGGCCACAGGAAGCCCCGAGAGGCCCCAGGGGGGCCCACGAGGCTCCAGGATAACTCAGGAAGACCCAGGCGGTTCCAGGAGGCCCCAAGCTCATGCGCAGAGACACGCTCATACTACTGAGATGCATTCACACTCCAACTCATCGACAATTAGATTCACTCCCAAACCGTCAATACTCAAGCCCGTGACTTTTCAAAAACTCTTGCGCCTAGACGCTCGCGGCGGACAAGTACATGCTACGATATGCACATATGGAGAGCTCCACACAGTGAGTAACTACCGACCGCGCCGACTCGTCCAGAACACCCCCTCATATTATTTCCAGTGTATGGTATGTCGTGCAATGGTAGGTTGAGTTATGCTATGGTATGACAGGTTATGGTGCGGCACGTTATGTTCTAGTATTCAATGTTAATATATGTTTTGGTATGACATGGTATGCTATGTTATGTTATGATATGTTACGTCATGACGTGGTAGGCTAACGTTTCGTTATGGTATGGTATGGTCTACTATGCTATGTAATATTATGATATGCTATGGTATGCTGTGATGGTGATGGTGATGATGCTGACGGTGGTGGTGGTGGTGATGACGATGACGATGATGGTGATGCTGCTGCTGCTGGTGATGATGCTGATCCTGATGATGATGATGATGACGATGAAGATGAAGATGAAGATGAAGATGATGATGATGATGATGATGATGATGATGATGATGATGATGATGATGATGATGCTGATGGCGGAGCAGCGAGCGAGGTGAGGGTTCCAGGACCCCCAAAGGGGACCAACCAAGGGGTATTTGCACTCCTCCGTTCGCGCCAAAATGGCGGGGATGCCTCGAACGGCTTGCCTGTTTGTATGCGTAACGCCCTCCGCTGCTGGAACAAATCTTGAAGATGTCGCGAGCAAGGCGCCGGTTTTCGCCCCGAAGAAAGGGGGGGCGCCAAGGGGTATTGCACACTTCCGTTCGCGCCAAAAGGCGGGGACATCTCGAGCGGTGTGCCTGTTGTGGGCCGCAACACCCTCTGCTTTCGGACCAGATTCTGAGGATTGTTTGGTCGAGGCGATGGTTTGCGCATCCCTTGGGGCACATATTGCGAGGATGCCTCGGGCGGTGTCCTTGTTTTGCTTGCCAGGCTCGCATGCGTTCAAGGCAGATGATGAGGATGTTTCGGGCGAGGCGCTGGCTTTCGCACCCCAGGGGCCAGATTGTGAGGGTGTCCCGGACTCAATTTTGCTTAAGCCCACTCGTGCTCAGACTCACCCGTACCCAGACTCGTACTCATCATACTCATACCCATGCGGCAGCCCTTCCCTATGGGGCCCGCACTTTTATGTTTTTAGTCCGAACGGGTCATCCTCGAACCTATGACTGTCGTCACTTTGGGCTCCTGAGGCCTGACTATGGGGAAGTATCAGGCGGGAGCCTCGTCTGCGAGCGAATTGCGAGGACGGCTCAGGCGGGAGCCCCGCCCCCTTTCTATGGGGCCCGCACTTGGCGCGTTTTCATCCGAGCGGGCCATCCTCGAACCCGTAACCGTCGTCACTTTTGAGTTCCTGAGGGCTGACTGTGGGGGAGATATCAGGCGGGAACCTAGTCTGTGAGTGAGTTGCAAGGAAATCTCCAGCGGGAAGCCTCTCCCTATGAGGCCCGCGTTGCATATGTTTAACCAAAGCGGGTCATCCTCGAACCTGTAACCGTCGTCGCGCTTGGGCCTCTGAGGCCTGAGCATAGGGAAATATCAGGCGGGATCCTCGTCTGTGAACGATTTGCAAGGAAGTCTCAAGCGGGAGCCCTCTCCCCTATGGTGCCCGCGTTTGATATTTTCCAATCCGGGCGGGTCATCCTCGAACCTGTAACTGTCGTCAGGCTGGGGTTCCTGAGGCTTGAATATGAAGAAATATAAAGCGGGAGCGTCGTGCGTGAGTGAACTGTGTGGAAACCCCCGGCCGGGGACCCCTTCCTGATGGGGCCCTCATTCCATAGTTAAGCCGAACGAATCACCCTCGAACCTGAAATTGTCGTCAGTTTGGGGCCCCTGAAGCTCGCATATGGGGAAGTATCAGGCGGGAGGCTCGCTTGTGGGTGAAATTCAAGGAAATCTGAGGCGGGAGCCCCCTCCTCATGGGGCCCGCAGTTCACGTTTTTCAATCCGAACGGGTCAACCTCGATCCTGTAACCGTCGTCACTTTTGGGCTCCTGAAGGCTGAATATGGGGGAGGTACCAGGCGGGAGGGTCGCCAGTGGGTGAACTGTTAGGAAGTCTCAGGCGGGAGTCCTCTCCCTATGGGGGTCCGCACTTCGCGTTGGCAATCCGAACGGGTCATCAGAACTGTGTAACTGTCGTCATTGTTCGGCTCCTCTTGAGCGAAAATGGAGAACGTCTCACTCGGGGGGGTCCTCTGAATGGGCCGCGAAGCAGTCTCAGGCGGGAGCCCCCCTCCTATGGGACCCGCCCTTCAGGTTGGTAATCCGAGCGGGTCATCGGCAAACTCCACCAGGCACATCAGTTTTGAACAACCCAAAGGGGCACATCAAGAAGCGCCCCTCGCGCGTGAGGGAGTGAGTGAGTCCCCGTCCCTGGTCACAAGTCGCCCGAGGAGTTCGACAATAGAGCGGTGAACTCAAGGGCGGAGGCGGAGCAGCTCGCGGTAGAGCTGAATTTCGTGCTGCTTCCCGCCTGAGCGCGGCCGCGGCTAACTCGGTGCCTGCGGGGTTGTCCCAACGGCTTGCTCTCCCGCCCCAGCGGCTCGCGGGGTTGTCCCAACGGCCGTTGCCCCGACGGCTTCGCGATTTTGCCATCGGAGAACGCGCCCCTGCCGGGAGCGGCGGCGAGGGCGCCGAGGAAAATCGGCATGCGCCCCCCGGCCAGGAGGAAGGAGAGGTTCATGACAACAGGCGGGCTGGAGATGAGGTGGGAGGAACGGAGGAGGAGGTGGTGGAGGAGGAGGACAAGGACGAAGAAGAAAGGGCGAAATTGAATAAGGATGGCGAGCAGGAGGAGGAGACGGAGGACGAGGAAGACAAGGAGGATGAGGAGGAGGCGCAACACAGGGCGAGACGAGGGGCTTCGGCCAGGGCGAAGAGGAACGAGCGACGAGCAATCTACATAGATTATCCTTTGGGGTCCTACCGTCGGAATAATTCCTCCTCGTCCTCTTCTCCATGCTCCCATGTGGTGCAGGCGGCTGCCTGGCGCTCCTGCCGCCAGCGGCAGACCTGGCGTTGCTGACCTGCCGCGCGAGGGCATATCGTCGCGAGGGGAAGGAGGGGCGTGCCTTTTTCCTCTTCCTCCTGTCCCCAGACCGCTCTTCCTACTCCGCTTTCTCCCTTTGCCTCAGGTGCCTCCCTCATCTTCCCAAATATCGGCCCACCATCGTCGCACCAGAACACGATGTTGCAGGGCTGGAGGGCGAATGGTTTATTCGAAATCTGGATTGCGCCCCAAAGCCGCACGCATTTGTCCTAACAGCCTCCGGCAATTACAATGTCGGATTGGGCGTGTTCAACATGTTGCCCTCGCCGCAGCGCAGTGCCCTCGCACCTCAGGTTCGAACAACTTGAATGGTAGAACATGTACTATTTTCAACATGGGGTTGCCGCTCGAACGTCACGAAACACCATGCTCGTATAAATGTGCAACACGTTCACGGATGGAGGGCGACTCGTTTTCAATATTGGGCTCTAGCTGGGTTTTCCTGGGACAAATGACGGAACGACTTTCACGCATTGCTACGGATGGACGACGGCTCACGTTTTGAACGTGGCTCTTGCTGGAAACATCCTTGAGCTCTAGCTCTGATGACTGTGTAGACCGGTTATGTGTTCAAGGCGTGCCCATCGCCTGAATGCTAGGCCAATGGGGCAGCTCGTCTTTCTAAGAAGACACCTCCCATAGTGAACAGCAATGCGCATAGGGACTTGTGAGGATGAGGACGCAATGATACATGACATACCCGCGCCAGCGTCAGCTAGTGTTACGTCGGGCGTGTCCCCCTACAGGCGGATTTTGAACGAAAAATGAAAAAATAGTCAAACAAATACTCATAAATAGTCAAAAATGCTTAAACAATCGTCTCCTATCTATTTGTTTCAGCTATTTTTGAAGATTCCTCCTGTAGAAGGACATGCCCGACTTACAGCTAGTCGCCTGCCAGCGTTCCGAGCACAGAAGAGCTGCGGCGCGGCCCGCAAGGCCCACCTCGCAGAAGCAGGAGAAAACGAAAGGGGCTCCAGACTTGGGTTAGATCGGGCGTGTCCCTCTACAGGCAGATTTGGGAGGGAAAATGACAATTTATCAAGAAGTATTCCGAAATAGCAAAAAAAATCAAACATCTTCCCCATATTATTTTCAAACTATGTTTGAATATTCCCCCTGTGGAGGGACACGCCCGGCTTAAGACTTGGGGCGCATACCCCTTGAAGGCAGGCTTGGGGCACTTCCCGATGCGCCCCCTGCACGGGCCGTGTAAAGTCGGCCCCAGCCCCCAGGAACAATAGGCACCGCAACGCAAACAAAACAAGGACGGGCCTTTGCCCCCCCATGCTGTGACCGACCGCCGACCGACCGCCGAGGCGCCGACGCATGCACAAAAGCGCCCTCGCGGCGCTCGGAGCCCACGGCCCCGCAGCAGCCAACGCAGACCCAGAGTCAGAAGACATCGCAAACGCCGCACGGATACCCTAAAGGCGTTCGACAGGGATGGCCTTCTCGAAACGCCCACCTGGTCCGAAGTCCATCCTGGCCTGACTGACCTGGAGGGCGGACGGACAACACTCCCTACGAGAGCCAGTGGCCATAGTGCGCTGTGAGGCGGCCATCGCGGACCGGGCAGGGCGCTTGCGACAAACAACGCGACCAGTCTCCAAGCTCCCAAACCCGCGCTGCTGGACCCCTCAAAGCACGTCAGAGGGATAAAGCGAGAGGAAAGAACACGGGTGCATGGAATGCTGCGCCCGCCAAACCGGGCGCCCACAGCATATCGAACCGCAGCGAGCTACGCCGCCTCCGAGGAAAAGACACGAGCGCGGTGTTTGCACCACGAGCGCGGTTCTCGCGCGAATTAAAATGTGCGGTGGAGACGGCAAAGACGGCGTCAAACGTCTTATCGACATCCCTTCCAACCCGAACGAAGAAACACGCTCGCGAATTTCCAACTTGCCACTCTGGAAGCTTATCGGGGCGAGCTTCGATAAAATCGCAGGAGTCCCTTTGGGCAGGGGCCCGCCCGAAAACAGTGGGCGCAGACTGAGCCCGCCGCGAAAACCTGGCGCCGAAAAGTTGCATATGATCCTCCGAAGGCCCCAGAATGGGGGCTCCACTCACGCCCGCCACACTGGGAGAAAGCTCGAAGCTCCGAAGAGAGCGACGCGCTCGGCCATTCCGACCGGTTGGGTCGGGCCAGGAGTGGCCCGCACCAGGCTCTGACAGGAAATCCGCTTCCAGTGAGGCCATGTGCAGCCTCAGGCCCGTTCCTGTAGGCCACCAAGGGAGGAGATGTTGTCGTTGGATGACCTGACGGGCGCCGCGCAGCGTTCGCTCCGAACCAATTTAACGCAAAAGAGGCGTCGTGCATCAGAGTTCGAACTGTCTGGCATTTGGTCTTGACCTGCAGCAACGTCACCGTTAGCAGGGTCGTCGCGTGCGTGCATCCTGGCAGTCTTGCTTGTCGCACGCGGAGCATTGTGCTGATGCTGCCGTAGGCATTCACCACCCTGGGAATGCAGGAGTACGAGGCGCACAACAAGCGCAGTGGGTAGCCAACACCACGGACCCCCATAGAACAAATGGCCCAACAAAACCGCATCGAAACATTATCACATGTCGATCATCACCGAGATCGAATACTCCATGATAACCTCCGCCACCTCCGCGTCAACATTGTGAATGTGCAGACGCCGAAAAAGAGAAATCACCTCTGTTGCCCGAGATCAAATTTGGGGCGGGTGAGTGTATTGCAACATCGTTGATGCATCCTGATGTTGCTCTGGCCGTGTTCGTCCTCGCCCTCCCCATCCTACCGTCATACTACCCTCCTCCCCCCACTCGTCCACCCACCATCAGTATCACTCCCCTTGCCCGTCCTCCCCCGCCGCCCTCCTCCCCACCCCCCCCTCGGTGCTCCTCATGTTCATCACCCCCCTCATCGTTCCCCACCCTCCCCCACGCGCGCACCTCAAACCCCAACCCCCTCTCCCCTCCTCATGCATTTACCCCATCCTCCTCCTTCTCCTCCTCCTGCTCCTCCTCCTCCTCCACCTGCCCCTCCTTCTCACCCTCAACCTTCTCCTCCCCCTCCTTTATCCCCGTCTCCATCCCACATATCATTCCTCCACCCCTGTCCCCTTCCCACATGCCCCTCGCCTCCCCCCCCTTCTCCCCCCTTCCTCATCATGCCTCCTTCTCCTCCTCCTCCTCCTCCTCCTCCTCCTCCCCCTCTTCCTCCATCTGCTCCTCCTTCGACTCTGATCCTCCCGCACATCGTGCCCCCTCCCCCCTGCCACTTCGCCCCCACCTCTCTCATGTGTTTCATCCTGGTCCTGCTTCCCCTCCACTCCGCACCCCCCGTTCTAAATTATCCGTCTTCCCGTTCCCACTCTTCTCCTCCGCTTCATCCTCCAGATTCCTCTATGTTTTCCCCTTCTCCTCATTATTCTCCTCCTCTTTATCCTCTTGCGCGGGCGGGGGGGGGTGCAAGGCAGGAGTGAGGGACGAGGGGAGGGAAATAGGTGGAATGGGGGGATGGGAATGGGGATGGGGGCGGAGGCAGGGACGGGGGAGGTGGCAATGGCCGAGGGGAGGAGGCAAGGGGGGAAGAGGATGATACGGATGTGGGAGAGGAGGAGAGAGGGAGGAGGGCGCCAGATGGCGCCAGATTGCGTGATCTGGCCATGCCGCAAGGGTCGAAGGGGAAGGGGGGGAAACATAATGAGAAACCACTTGTCGACACCCTGCCGTCCGCTCCTGGGCTCCCCTTGAGCGTCAACACGCAAATGATGTTTGTACGCCCGCGCTCCCGCGAATTTGGTCGACAATTTCACCGCGCACCTGCTCCCCTGCTCGACGCCCAGCATGCTGCCATGCGTGTTGAGTTGTGATTGCCACCCCGCGCAACATCTCATTCAGGAGCATGAAGAACCCAACGACTCCACGGACGTAGGGCGTTTCTTTCAAACTGTGAATTTCGCTTGAAACATGCGTACAATCATCTGGCAAAGCTCTAACACATATACTGGTCGAGGCCGAATTGCTTTCGAGATATGGTTCGTGCTTGGGCGGCACGAGCATCAATCTGACACACTTTCCTCACATGTCCGGGTGGAAAAAGGCGAATGTGTTTCCAATGTGTGGTTATCGCATCAAGGTCGCGAGCATTCGTCTCAAATCTTCTCGCCCGTTTCGCAGGTGAACAGTGGTCCCGATTCAAACTGTGGCTCGGGCCTTGGCGCTGCGCGCACTCGCCGTCAACGCTTCCAGTCGTCACGGAGATTGAAGCGGCTCCTTCTTCAACGTGTGTGAATATCGCACTCGCGCCGCGCAAATTGGCCTGAAAGCTTTGAACAGTCATACGTGTGCAGGGGGGCTGGTTTGTTTCTCTCCATTGGGCTCTTGCTTGAACGTCCTGCGCGCTTCGCAAACAGACAGTGGAGCTTGCGCAGAAACTATTCACGGACTGCGGGTGGGACTTTGCCAAAACAGCCAGCAAGAAAATCTTGAACCCACGCCGGACGCACGCTAAAACGTTGCCCGCGCCGCGGCTGGCGCGCCGAAGGGGGGCATGGAAGAGAAGAGGAGGAGGAAGGGGATGAGGGAGGAGCGCAGGGGGCGTGATCCAAAACATCCCCAGAGACTTACATGTTCCAAGTTAGATGCGGGTTGCGCACGTTGCTGCCAGGGTCTTCCTCTGCGCGGGCAGCGCGCCCTTTCCTGTGGCATGCCATCTTTGTTGCACACCACTTCGTTCTCCAATGAGTCGTCTGCCTGCGGAGCAACTCTTTTATAGAGCCCCCTGTGGCACTCACATAATACTGCAGAAAGCGGTCTGTAACGGCACGCGGTAGCATTTGACATGCGATGCGATGCGATGCGACCCACATTCCAGCCCCTTATGGGGCGGCCCTCTACGAGGGTAAATGCATGGGACACGCAGTCCCGGCAAACCGGGAGAAGGATGCCCGGTATGTTGTGCAACCGCCTGTAGTGGAAAGCGCGCAGCCGCATTCAACCAACCTG